GCTATTGAAAATACCAGGACTTGGGTCAGGTCCATCTTTGTCTTCAAAGTGACATATTTTCTCTTTAACACTGTAAAGAGATCTTTTGCAGCATATTGCCCAGTGAAATATATTGTCTGATTTCTTGACTGCTGCTTCTGGTTGTTGATCCAAGTAAAATGAAATAACTGATAATGTCATACTATATTATAGTATCACATCATACCATATATCATATCATATCATATATCATACCATACCATACCATACCATATCTTACTACATCAATTATCTGGAATCCTTGCATGATGTAAATAATTTAACATGCTCAGCTGCTAACTGAAAGGTTGGAAATCTGAACTTGCTCAGAGGAGCCTTGAAACAAAGGCTTATAAAGGTCACAGCCATTAAAAGTCCTCTGTGGCACAATTTATTCTAATATGCAGAGAGTTGTCATGAGTCAGAATCCATTCCACAGCAACTTTCTTTTCTTGGTAGTATTATATACTGAGTGTATTGCTACACAGTAATACACTGTGTATGATAACACCAAATCACCATATACCATATCTTTGGGGAGTAAGAAGGGAGTGAAATCAGAAGAGCTGTAAAGGGAGCTTCAAATATGTCACTTCTATTTATTCAGAGCAAAATAAAAGTGGAGCAAACATGTCAAAGTGTGAAGAGTTGCCTGAACTGTGTAGCGGGTACATGAATGTTTGCTATGTTACTACTTTTGGTATGTGAGAAATATTTGGTAATAGAAAGTTTAAAACCTACTACAAATGCATAGCATTTTGAATTGAATTTGCATTTTGTTCATTATACCACTGCCATACATTTGAGCAGTAGTACAAGTATGAGGCATGCTAATGTCTTTCAACTCCCATCTGGGCTGGGCGTACCTAGGGATAGTTTCAGATCCCTTACAGTTCTTCCAGGGTCTTCCTTTGGGTGTTGCCTCACAGAGGTCCTGCAGAACCTGATGAAGGTCCAAGTTGGGCCTTGGGATCTTATGAAGGTAGGTGATTGTGAATTGTCTCCTCTGACTGTTTGTGTCCCAGGGAATACATCTCAGGGAGTTGGGCACAGAAAAGGAGATGGGTTATGGGCCTTGTTTTGCATGGGACTTTTTAAAAATGGTTACATTAAGAGTTTTTGAATACAGAGAAGTTTAGAAGCATAGAGCTGCTTTTCATCATTGCAGACACTGCCTCTAGTTACAGTAGAGGTCACTTCTGTTTAGTTTCTCTGAGTGAACAAGGGACACTGTCATACCCACAAAGAAAATAGCATGGGGCGTTTCTACAAGAAGCAGTCATCTTGACGTTGGGAAAAGAATGATTCTAAAAGAGAAAATGGCAATTTGAGCTAATAGGAAAAAAAAAAAAAAAAAAA